TTAACTCAGAATTTGTAAGTTCAAAAGATCTTACCTTCGCAGTCCGTCATGCAGAAATGTTACATATCCAAAAGCGTACGTGAAGTATCCAGCTTCTCAATTATAATCGAGCAATGATGACTAAGTACTTCCGATATTCCACATTCGCGACAAGATTCATCAATTTTGCATCTCTATTGTTCTGTGTGTCTAAAGGTGCATCAGATACTAATAAAACTAATGCTTTCGAAAATACTAATAAAATTTATTTATAAGAAATATGTAAGAATTAAGTAGCTGAAGATACAGTTACATTATTAGACAATCTTTGCCTTCCATGTACATCCTTAGAATCCAGGCCTGCCACTGACTATTGGAACATACATGTATCCGCCTGCCACTGGCTACTGGAACGTCACACACAGCGCCCTCTAGCCAAATGGCACGGGAAATACATAGCATGGGGTCCCCTAAGTATGGAATTCAGAATTTAATTGATAGGAGAATAAACAACCCAAAAGTTAAATTTCTGTAAAATACATGCAATTTTTATAGCTAATTGATGGACAGAAAGGAATAACAACAGACTTCTTATAATCTCTTAAAACAAGAGTGTGCTTTTTGAGTGTTGAGACGAGAATTTTTTAACTGCTTGGTTAATAATGTTGGGTGAAAAGAAAACACAAACGAAAGAGCTATAATGTGCGAAATTTATTCTAACCCGAACATTATCATTTCAAAGGCTGACAAAAGTGGCCAAATAATCGTCATAGGCAAGAACACTTACTTTGATGGTGTCACTAAACTTTTAAATGAAGGATCATATAATATGATCCCTAAAGACCCTTCACCTTTGGACCTCTCAAAAATAAAAACTGCAATCAAATCGTCACAAATCATTTCAACCAACTTAAAAAGTCTCTTATCCCATCTGTTGTGAATTGTGCCATATTATATGCTCTTCCCAAATTTATAAAAGTGGTATTCTTTTCCACACTGCTGTATCAAATTTAGGCACTACCTCATACCCATTAGCTAAATACTTAGTTTCTAGATTTTCAGTTCTATTAGATAATAACATTTACACCATAAAAATTCAATAGAGTTTGTAAAAAAAGTTAAAAGCCTCCAGGAAATTTACTCTTAGTTTCTGTGGATGTAAAATCATTATTCACCAGTGTTCCAATGGAGGGTGCGTTAGGATATCTAGAAACCAGACTTCATGGATTTCATCTCTCCTGCATCAAAATTGATGAGCTCATTTCCCTTACACAAATCTGTTTGAAACAAATGCATTTTGTTTTCTAGAATAAGTATTACAAGCAAAGTGAGGGATTAGCCATGGGAAGCCTTCTTAGTCATATCCTAGTTCATATCTACATGCATTATTATGAATCAAAATTATTTAAAACTTTAACCCATTAACCGCCAAAACTACAAGGAATGTTTCTTTTCTCATGAAAATAATAACAAATATTAAATTAAGCATTTATAACATAAATTTACATTGAAAATAAAATTTAAAAAAATGCTCTTATCTGTGGAAAAAGCGAGTGTCACGTTCGCTTAACGTCAGCGGAATTAAACTACGGATGTTTAGTGAGTAGGATTGTACTTGTGTGATGTTTCTTTTGAGTGGAGCACAGGATTACTTTTTAGCTGTATAATGTTTTATAAATAAACAAATCACTTGTAATTAATGTAATATTAAAAATATAGCTTGTATTTCTTTTACAAATACAGATTATTTCAATTGAAAGATTCAAGCATGAAAAGCTTGATTACAATCATCATGTAAAGCGACATTACATACTTTGCATTTATAAACAATCTTCTATGGTACTCTTTACAACAAAGTCTTTTGTTATCAACGGACTTTACGATAAAATGTCTACCATCTCCATGCAATGGTTTTTGAATGCTGAATTTACTAGGTCTTCCTGTTGCTGATCTATTTCTAGCTTATTCTACACTCTCAATAGAAGTTTGCAAAAGGAATAATGCATTCTCGCGTCCCCTGGACCTCGCAACTTTACTTTCCTCACAAATCCTATCACCGTAGCAGAATTTATCAATTATCAGAAGAGGAAAAAAGCCCCAGGGGACGATGGAATCACAAATATTGCTCTGAAGACTCTTCCCATCAAACGCCATCACCTGTCTCACTAAAATTATCAACAGCATCCTGTTTATTTTGTTTTTATTTCGGAAAGATTCACCTCCAGTCTATTATGGCGGGAAGGCGCTATTTATCAGATGAAGAATACCCTCGTATGATTAAAGAACCATTTACTAATGCAAATGAGTGTGATGATTAAATTTCTAAAGAGATAGAAAGTGATACTTCTCCATGCTACAAGATTTACCACAGTCTTCATTTTAAATTTTTTTACTTCTTACTGTAAATATTCTTTATTGTGTTGTTTTATTAATTTTAAACTTTATTGATGGATTTTATCAATTAAAACGTTGGAATAATTTGAATAGTGCTTCCGAAAATTATTTTAAAGATAAGCAATTTTTTAAGTATATTTTCATGTAAAATAAAGAAAAAAAATGTTATTAAGTGCCAATTATAACATATATAAGAGCTCAAGTAACAATCTAAAATGATACCAAAAATTATGATGCTAGAAGTGAAACTTTTTTTTTAGAATATAAAATTAGGCTTAGCGATGCAGAACTTCCTTCCTGTATGGTGACTGCCAACGATTCCCTTCCGTCCCGCATGAGCGTCTTAAACAAAGGTGCACCATCGCAAAAAGATTAAGGAAATTATGTTTTAGTTTTCTTGTTTCATCAATAGATGGCGCCAGTGGCTTAACTCCTGTCCAGCCATTCTTATCACTATATCTTATCTCCTTCATTTGCTCTTTGTCAGCACAGGATGATGGTTCTGTAAAACCATCGAAACTAGTCCTGTGAAAATTTGCAAATATAATGCTGATTTTTGTTATTTGAATTCTAAATTAATAAACTGCCATCACTTTGTATTTTCTCGAAATGAAAGAATAAAGTGGAACTTTTATATTCAATGTTATTTTCTACATCTTGATGTGCATTTCTGTCATTTATCAAAAATTAATGTTATTGTAAAAATTAGAACTACTCTTATATGCACCCTCAAGTCTCGCCAAAGATTTTTGGCAAGAAGCTCCTTGCTGCCATATTACTATCTAAATTTTTTATCTACATTTTGAACTTTAAGCCTAAAATGCCTCCAAAAACGTGTTTTTCGCATATGCAAAAACCACGTTTTGAACACACAATTTAAACTAAAAATCCGAAACAAAAAACAAAAAATTTAGATAGCAAAAATGTAAAGTTTTAACCAAAAATATTTGACGAGAATCCATGTACACAGGGATATGTTTTAACTTAAAAAAACATCTACGAATTGCAAAATATAAGCAGCGAAGAAATCTACGAACTATGCACACCTCGCTTTAATAAATTAACATAACAACAATAAATTTCAAAGAATACCATGTACACAGCATTATTCTGTTTAAACTTTTAAAAAAATCTACAAATTGCGCAATTTAGGCAACGAACGAATCTACGAACTACTCACACCTTGCTTTAATAAATTAACATAACAACAATAAATTTCAAAGAATACCATGTACACAGTGTTATGTTTCAACTTAAAAAAATCTATGAATTGCACAATCTAGACACTATGCACTAATCAACAAAATAAACTAAAATAACTAAAATAAATTTCAAACAATTCAAAAAAACAACAATAAGAACAGAAATTCATACTAAAAAACAATGAACATAACATTCTACAAAATAAGAACAAGAATAAAATAAAATGCACTTACCATGCATTAATGCTTTTTCGAACAGCAGAAATGCCAATTTCATACCGCCTTTAACATGCCACCACATAATCACTATCGTATATTTATGACAGCCAGACACATCCAGAAAATTCATACTATAGTTCACAAATAAATAAAATCACAAATCCCTACTTCTATCATGCACAGCCACTAAAAATAATCTCCCAGACCCTCTTTCCACTCCTCCAAACTCCCACTGCCCCTCAACAGGATGGCTACAATGATATTTCCTTTTGCCGAAATTCAATTCAATAACTTCCACCATTTTATCTTTCCCCCTATCTTCTAAGACACAAACACCAACCAACGAGCTCCAGCAAAAGATTTTTCAATGTTAACAGGTTTGCCATACAACATGCAATCGCGCCAAAAACTAGTGCAGAACACATATCGCCACATTTGGTGAAATTAGGGCATATATCAGAGTTGTACCTAGAAATTAGACTTTTTATGAATATTTTAAATTCATAATTAATGTATTTTTTTAATTTAAAAAAAGCACTTTTTGAAAACAATATGAATTCTAGAAGACTGTTAATCATGTCTTTTATTTTACATTTAACATTAAATAACCAAATTGTATATTTATGACTGATTTGGAAATATTCAGTATCATCTGCTCCGTTTTTTATAAGCAAATTAATGATTTTACACTAATAAGTTGCTTCTAATAATTGTGTATATCTTCATCTTTCAAAAAAAGTAGCGGGCAATACTAATATTTTTGTCTCTAAGTATAATTAACTCATTAAGCATAGCTGTGCAATTAAATTAAAATTTTAATGTAAAAAATCAAAGTTATTTGTGTTTTTAATATGTTTTCTAGATAATGAAGTTCAGTTGAATATAGAAATTAGAATTATGTGAGAATAACTTTTTGTGTTTAACAGTAAAGAAATGGAAAAAATTCGTTAAATTTGGATACATTTTATATTGAATTTCTTCGTTTGTCCACTACAAAAACCTATTTTTGTATGTTTTTTTTCTCCCCCTTGATGAAAAGATAAAATGAAGTATGGAGAAGAAAATTTTTTGTTTTTGTATTTCAGGTAATCTCTCAATCATTGTACAAAATTCACTTGAGGAGAGGCCATTTGAAAAAAAAAAAATAATGTAAGTTTAAATCTTTGTAAAATTTTTTATACCTAAATAAAGTGTTATTACTACCACTTTGTTAAGAAAATCATGTCCTAATAAGGTGTTAGAAGTTGCCTATCAATGTGGCATAAAATATATTTTATCTTACTTTCTTCTAAATCCTTTCAAATATAAACAAATAAACAAATGTATAAAAAAAAGTCATTAAAAAACAATATGCATTTCAGAATAGTATCTGTATATTTTTCAGTTGCTACAAAATTATTAACTGCATATTTACTAGTTATGTTCTTAAGTTCCTTTCTGTGATTTCATTTTTATTACAAACAGAATCTTAGCCTTTGAATATTAGGTATTACCTTTTATACAATTCATATAGTTAATAAAAATTATGTCTAATGATAATATTATGGACTTTGGTTACAAAATTTTGATTTCATACTAGAATACTGTTAAAAAATCTTAACTGATGCTAATAAAATTTTATAGCAGCATATATGTGTTAATTTGTTAACTATTACAGGGTTCATGCAGTCCTTAAGAGTCCTTAAGTTTTTTGGAATCCATTTTTAGTCCTTAAAAGTCCTTAATTTTGACTAAAATCTGCAGAAAGTTCTTAATTTTAATCATGTGAAATTTCTGTCTATTTTTACGACTGCCTTTTTTAGTGTGAATTAGCAATTTGGATAGACTTTGGTTATAAAAGTTTTGATTTCGTACTAGAATACTGTTAAAAAAAATCTTAACTGATGCTAATAAAATTTTATAGCAACATGTATGTATTAATTTGTAAACTATTACAGGGTACATACGGTCCTTAAGAGTTCCTTAAGTTTTTTGGAATCTATTTTTGGTCCTTGAAGTCCTTAATTTTTGACTAAAATCGTCAGAAGGTCCTTAATTTTAATCATGTGAAATTTCTGTCTATTTTTATGACTGCCTTTTTGAGTATGAATTTGAAGGTATAGTTTTTGCGATTCACTGATAAATATGGTTATTTGAATGGATTATGATTTGTTCCTATTTCCAACATAAATGGTGGGATACTCGAGTTTCTGAGCAAGAAGTGAAACAAGTATTTCAAAATTATTTCACTTTTTCTAATCTTAAACAACTTTCCGCTTTTGGGGATGTGATTTCTTTCATTGAAAGCTATAAATTCGGCGACTTATCAACATTTTGGTGATTTTTAAGGTCAGTTTTTATAGAAAATTTTTAATTCCAAGCTTTGGGGATTTTTCGATGATTTTTTTTAAACATTGTAACATTGATAAATTTCATTAAAATAATAGTAATATATTGAAATTATATTTAAAAAATAACATATTAATTAAAAATATCTTTTTAATTTTTTCATGATAATAGTTTTCTCATGTAATGTCTCAAATATTCAGAATTCTCAGAATATGCATCAGTATTCTCTATAAAAATAATTTTACACTTTTTCCTTTTTTTTTTTTTTTTTTTTTTTTTTTTTTTTTTTTTTTTTAATATTTCTGGCTGTTTGTTGTTACAAAATTTTTAGGGCTAATTTTTCTTTGGGACATCAGACATTGCAACTTGAAGGATGCAACTTGGAAAATTTAGAAGGATTTGAAGGCAAGATTTATAGATTCACAATTCCAAAAGATTCTAGAGAATGTGACAAAATGAAAAATGTCTCTATGGTATTATCATATAATGGGTGTTTTTTACAGAAAATTTGCAATGAATTTCTTACTTTTTGGAAAACATCTGGAAGATCAATGAAAACATAATATTTGAATGTTTTACTTTTGATACTAGAATCTTTTTCTTAACATGTTTATCTTCCCTTTATTTTCTACTTTTTACTAGACACAAGCATGGAAAATATCAAAAATGTTTCTAATCTTATCACATATACAGGCATTATAGAAAGGAATTTTTTTATTAATAAAAAAAATTGAAAACTGACAATTTAAAAGATTCATGTCTTAGTGCACCATACACAGGTCTGACACTAGGCATTTTTCCACCTGGTGCAATCACATGGAATATTAAACTTATCTCTGTAGGTCCTAAATTTTGCTGACTAGTGCCTTTCTGAATTCTGCTTCCAATGTCTGCTCTAAATTCTAAAAGTTTTGACATTTCTAGATTTCGTTGCTCAGTGTGTCACTAAATTCTAAAAATTCTGCCATACCAGCTCTGTAACTGGCCCTTACCATATATGTTTCATATTTCTTCCGATTGTTCATAATACTAAAGAAATAAAATTAGCAGTTTTTTCTATACGTTCTAATGAAAAGGAAGCGTGTTGAAGAAAAAAAACCAAATGCATACAGAGAAAGAAAATATATATACAGGTATTATTATGTAAATTACTCAGTTGTTTATAATTTCAGCCTTTATATAATTTCCCATTTCTATTTCCTTCCCAGAATGCAAATCACTTAGGCAGTTTTTAAACTGAGATTTTTGGTGTGTAAGACAGAATGTGTTTTTAATCTCCCCTTCCTCGCTGCATTAGTTCGTGCCAGCTCTGATAATTTGTAACTTTTTGTCATTGCATTACTGCTGCTGACATTTGAATTTGTTATGATGATAGAGTAACTGAGCCAGCTTAAATTAAAATTAAATTGTATAGTCTTTGACCACTAGTCCACATTTTTTTATTTGAATTTGACTGTTCTTGTTTAATTACATCACAACAAAATGCAATTGATTTGGTTAGCATAAGAACATGCCTTTAAGTTCTTTTTAAAGAAGAGGCTTATTTAAACCTTTGTCTGACTTTGTAGTTACTTTGAGACGTAGTGATAACTTGCTTCACGTTGTTGGGGGGTTTTTGGACTACTTAATTCTTACCAGATCAAGTAAACCTTCATAGGTACATTGTGGAGAGGTTAACAAGTTAGGAGATAAAGCATGCAGAAACTAGTGAGATTGAGACAAAATTTCTAATTCTTAGAAAAGATACTTAAAGAGAAGGAAACCGATATGCATTAGCCAAAATGTCTGGTCAGGCTTCAAATTAAAAAGACACGTAAATATTTTGTTGAGTGTTGTTACTACAAAACTTAAATGTTTTGTAATGTATCCTAATATTGTTTAACCCCTTCGCGCCGACTGTCACGTCTACGTGCCAGCAACGAACACACTCACCTCCCGGCCAACACGCAGGCGTGACAGAGCATTTTCCCATTTACTACCGACTGTCACGTATTTGTGCCAGTACCTTAGAATGTTTTTCAAACTATAATTTCTGCCACAAGATGGCACTGTATGTCCATATGGTTTCAGATACATGTACATTAGACCTTCTACTCGAAATGAGAGAAGCATGACTCACATACACGTGTTTTTGATTATATAAACAAAAGGGGAACTAAATGTTTCCAAATGGCGTGATTTATTACGTCTCTTTAAATCACACTTTATTCGCATGTAGTAGTTGTTTATTGTAAGTAGAAGTTTTATATGCGCTAAAGCGTTGAGTATTTCGGTTTGCAGTTCAGTTTTTAGAAAATAATTAGATCTTGTTAAACGTGAATTATTTCTTTTTTTACCGTTGCAATGTCAAAGCATCGAAAATGTTTAACAGAGCATGAAATAGCAGAAATGATGCAAAATATTTCAGATATTGATTCTGAAATTCTGATATTGATTCTGAAAGATTAATTGAAAGACATTTTCCAAAACTTTGTTCGGAAGAGACTGATAAAAAATGAGACGACGATGCTTCGTTGTTCACATTCCCGAAAAAAAAAAATCCTCCAAAACGGCAAATGAGTTATTACGAGTGCAAGGAATGTAACGTAGGACTGTGTGTAGATCCCTGTTTCAAATTTTTCATACGAAAAGAGAATTTTAAGTACTATATTTAGTTTTCAGATGTATAATGTTAAAAGTCATAAAATGGTGAGTAATTAAAATAAAATGTGTAAAATATGCATTTAAACAAGAAAAATAAGGTAATTAAAGTATATATATAAAAATATCTATAAAGCATAAGCCGTTTAAATACTCTATAGAGCATTATTAAACAATGTGTTGATACTTCGGAAACTTCATGGATTTAGGCTTAGTAGCAAAAAAGCTCCCGGCCCTGGAGAGACGCTCGCGTAAGACACTGCCGGCCTCCGCAATAAGCGCGCGTTTTCGCTACCCGGCTCGAAGGGCTTAAGAATCAATGACATAAATTTAATGTATTGTAAAGTGTGAAATTTTATTAGATTGTGATTTTAATAGGGCTTTTTAACAATATTGTTGAAAAATAAGTACAATTTAATAGTGCTCATGTAAATCCAGAATGACTAAGATTATCTACTACCTAATTTAATTATTTATAATTAACTTCTTACCCTTAAAATTATCTCTGCATATTAAAGCGAGTTATTGCTTTTCATTAATCCTTAGCGTGGTACAAGATAAAACACGAAAATGTAAAAATTCATGTAAAACTAATTCTTCGTATCTAATGAGACCTAAAATAATACAAAACAACTTAGTGTCACCTCTGGTGCTTTAGTGGCTTATTGGAACCTTAAAATATATTAACTGGGTTACAACCCCTGGAACTCTACACGGAACTACAACACTAAATGCAACAGACAGAGTCCAATTAACTTTCAAAACTTGCCAACTGTGCCCACATCAGGCCTTTCAGTTTTGTTCTGATCAGCAGGTCTCTCTCTAGGCAATGAGCAGCGGTGACAACAGTCAGTCTTTTGTTATAAATCATTCTGATTATGATTTTACTTCTCATTTTAACCTATGACGCTTGACATAAAATATACCTGCTATTTACTAAACGTCTAGATTGAGCAAGTAATGAGACATTAAAAAAAATCAACATGAAAGTAACTATTAGTAAAACGTAAATAAAATGTCACTTATCTTCTTTCAAATATGCCGAACTATTATAAGTGTAAAATATTTAATGCTATTTAATAAATTTAAAAAAGTATTTTGTATGCTCAAACTTCTTAATAATTATGTTATGTTTAAAAATAATGCATCCTACTTAGCAATCTATTTTATTTTTTGAATGGTATTACAAAAGTGAAGTTAAGGCATATATAATATTTTAATTGAATTTATTAATTTTCTATTTGATCATAGGTCCTTAATTTTTTTCATTAATCGTCCTTAAAAGTACTTAATTTCCCTGTGCAGAAATGTGTACGAATCCTGTATTCAGAGAGTGATGCCTGTGGGTATTATTTTTACTTAAGCAAAGTGAAATGCGAAGTTTGAAACTTTAATACTAACAATTATTATTTTTTTTTCTCTTATACAAAAAATATAACATCTGTGAAGCTTTTATTACTTTTCTAAATACCTTGGTGAAGTTTTACTTCATTGCAAACACCAGAAGTTTATAAAACATCATGTCAGTGATATGAAAGATGTAGAATTGCTTTAGGAGTATGTATGTATTCTACCAATGACTTTGAATGCAGATGTCCTGTCTGTTATATGAAGATTCTTGAAAAAGTTTAGAAATGAATGCTATAACTCATTCTTACATTTCACAATTCAAAAGATAGTCATAAGAACTTAAGTTAGGAAGTTGATTGAACATTTAGAACCATCTGTCTTTCCAGTGTATGCACACCTTCTCTTTCTTCCTCACTTCACAGTGAATATGCTGTTTTTGTTCCTTTTGTGTTTTACTAGGAGTCTGTGAAGCAGAAGTTTAATGACTGTGCACTTGATTTATTTTTAAGACTGAGCAATTTACTTGGAACTGATGATAAACAATATTTGTAGTCCATTCCAGATCACCTATAATTAAATTCCAGTGTTTGTGGATAAGAACAGTTCCCAAACACTGTGACATCATCTGCTATCATTCATTTTATCCCTTTCGCGTTTATCATAAACCAAGTTGACCATTGAATGCAAATATTTCAAGCTATCTTATGCAAGTACAGTGTACTAGATCTGTGCAAAAAGCACTTAATTGATGTTTCCTTTTTATTGCACTCTTTGGGGTATTTTGCTGTACCAAATGCTGTCCCATGTGAGTCATTGGATTCATATGCTGTTTAGCTTAAATGCTTCAAGTGTTGAGATTTGAGTAGGAAGATCGAATTGCATTTTTTGTGATTTTTATATTTAAAAACTATTTTGAAATGGTAAACTCTTTATGGTATTAAGAGTGTTATCTTATCTGAAGTCTTCAAATTGCAAGTTTTTTTGTGTTGGTTGGAAAGAGAATGTGTAAACTATTGCAGTACCAATAAGAATTATTGATTTGTTACGTATATCTTTTTCTTTCTTAATTACAGGGTCAACATCAGCTTCCTGAAGAGAAATGTTCATCATTTGAATTCATATTTCAAATGACCGATTACATTTCTTGAAAGTGGAGATTTCATAGAAATTAATAGTTTGCTGAACGTTCATATATGCTGGAAACTAATGTATATGAAGAGGTTATCAAATAAGCTGGAAGCCATTATGTATGCTGAAAGTCATTGCATAAGAATAGGTCTTGGACTTTTGTGGAATCTTCTGCTCCAAAACATTATAAGCATGGTGAAAACTCATTAGTGTCGAGCTTAGCCAAAATGTTTCATTATTTTATCTATAAATATTTTTCTGTTTGTTGTATAGCCTGGATAAAAATCACATATTTATATTTCATTGTTAACAAATGAATATTTTTAAGTGATGTGTGCAGTCAGAATTGAAAATTTTCCTCTGCATAAATTCCCACCTTGTAAATTTTAAACATGCATTTTAAGGCATTGGTGAAGTGGTGGATACTGTTACTGAATGTAATCTATGTAGTTTTTATAAAACGATTTGTAATTTGGTATTTTTTGCAGAAAACTTACGGTTGTGGGTTTAAAGTATATATAAATAGTACCCGAGCTGTGATTCATTAATACTAGAATAAAGACTTTAATGGAATTTGATGTTATGGCTTAAAAGTGCTGTTTTATATTTAAAAAAATAACTTTCAAGTTTAAAACTATTTTAAATTAAATTGTTTTCTTTCTGAATGAATTGTGAGAGCCAAAAGCTGTTATACTACATAAGCTACATAAAGGTTGCTAGGAATAATCACAGTTGTAAATTAATGTAATGCAATATTTTTAGTTGTTATACATTATAATGCATTTTCCTATTCAAAACTGAAATTTTGTGAACATTAATAATGAATATTTAAATCTGATTCTGTATTATGTGAGTTTTTGCTTGTAAATTTTGCATAATGCTTATGAGAAACTCATTGAATATTGTGTCATTCAAACTGTATGCTAATAATATTTTAATTAAAAATTTTGCTAACTTAATAATTTATATTTATAATTATATCCAAATGTATTGTCACATTACAAATTAGCCAATTGGTGAATCCTTGAAGCTTAGAATTATCGTTATTGATTTTTAAGAAGCTGTTCTGTCTGGTGAAAAATATATCCCTTAGCCCTTTTTCTAAATTTATGCTTCAAAAGTTCTTTTTTTTTTTTTTTTTTTTTTTTAATTATTTGAATTTTATTGAATTAAAAAATATATTAGTAATACTGCCCCTTCTTCCAAGATTTATTAACTTGATTAAGGGACTCAATCTGAGAAAATTTGTAGTTATGCAAATATAGTTTTTCATGGAAACTGTTTCAAAGGAATTGTATTTGCTATGATTTTAAGTAGGTGTGTATCTTATTTTTAATTAGATTGATAAATTAGCTAAAATTTGATTTGGAAAAAATCTGTCCAAGTATCACAGTTGGAAATAGCAAATTTTTATGATTAAAAATAGGTCTGTGTTTGTCCTTTTATTATTGGTGATGGATAATAAATATTTTAAAAATATCAGGAGTAAATTTTGTTTGTGGTAATAAGAAGATACAGTAGTATTTTTTGTGTTCTCTGATTATCTGCACCTCCAATTTCAATATTCAATGTAATAGCCGTATTTTTGAGTATACATGCTATAATAGCCAACTAAACAAATTTTACTGGCTATGAATGTATACATATAATCATAGTTTCTCTAATCTGCGTACTCAGTTGGCCCTACAAATTTTAGTTTTTTCCAAAAGAATTTCATTTTTGTTATAAAACTTTATTATTTTTTTTTAACATCATGAGTGTGCTGTAAAAATATCCGAACCAATGTTTTTTGCTAGTTTACAATTTCATCAATCAGTTGGCAATTTTTAGTAGGGGTGCAGATAATTTCAAAGTACGATATTTTTTATTTGGTAGTGGTAAGAAATGGTTTTAGTTTTTGTTGCTAGTCATGTGGTAAATAAACTTGCCATTCTAATAATTCAGTACTTTCAGAATTTTTATTTTGTTTCGTTTTTCTGGTAGAAAACAGAACTTTTCCTTTTTATATTGTTTTTACTGGTGTTAGTGCCAAAATTTTTACATATTGCTATCAGAAGTATCTATCTGTGCTAAGGATTGCTTTATTTTTACTATTGTTTTGACTGTTTAAAATGCTAAATAAGAAAGTCACAGATTGGCTAGTTTATATCATTATTGTTACATGTAGAAAAGCAGTGGAAAATTGGAAGAATAATTCAAATTGAAATGATGTCATCCTGTTTTTTGTATGCATTTTAATTATTTATTGTTAAAATTACTTCCATTTATATTAGTTAAAAGCTATAGATTTATGTGTAAATTGAATAATACTTTTATTTTAATAATTTTTAATCTGTCTTAAAAATGTTCATATATTCAATCTGGCAAAATGTTGTATTTAGTGAAAACTTAAAGGTTACATTAATGTGAAATAAATACAGAAATGTCTTCATAATCAAAATCATTATATTTGCACAATATTCTTCAGTGTTGCAACCCAAAATGTCATCGAATCATTTCCTATTTCTAGTTTTGTAAGTTGAGAAGCTATCCCACAACAATTATTGATCTGTGAGAAATATTTTAGAATCGTAAAAAAACTAGATGTATTACTTATTTGCTTCACTTATTAAAATGTGCGTTAAAATATCTTGAACCATATTTATTGTTTACGAAGGAAATTTAAAAAAAAAAAAAAAATTACAAATTACATCTAACTTCTTGTTTTATTATTTAGTTTTATTTAACAAATTTTTATCTCAATATTTACATGACTGAAATAATTAATGTTTCTTACTAAGCAAAAAATCACCACATGTTTTTGTTGAGACATTGGTTGAATCATTTTATTAGGTGACTTTCTGAAACAATTTAACAGTTTAATATAAATCTGCTGTTATAGCTGTAAAAGATTCTGAAAGTGAATTTGGAAATAAATTTGGTAAAAAAATTTAATAAGAATAATAATTTATGATAATTATGTTGATGTAAGTTCCTTGAGACCTTGGTAATTTAATTTTTTAATTATATCATGGAAGATATTTTCATGCATTTAAATATGATACTAGATGAAGAAAAACATTTCTTAAAAAATAAATAAATAAAGGAATTCTGTGCATAGAAGACAGTTATATTGTATATCCTTAACAGCTGAGAAACCAACATAAATATGAAATAAATTACCTAAATGGTATGATCTTAATGTAATTTATTTTTTTTATGGTGAAATGATGATATAAATAAAATATATCTTTCAATGTTTTAAACTTCAGGATTTGAGAAATTGCCAGCTTTAATATTTTCAAGCACACTGCTGCAGCACTGTCATCAACATTAATTGTCAACATTAATTGTCAACATTTTCTATGCAACCCTTTTTTACCTCTTCATTAACAAGGGTAAATCTAGTATTAGAATTGTAAACATTTTCCAGACCAGCTTTATTTTGGTGGACCTGTGTAGTGCCGTTTGCTCACCTGTTGTGGACGCTTGCCTCCTTACCGGGCGCTCTCTTACTTGATAGTGGCAGATGTAAAGCAAAACTGAGTAACTTATGGTCAATAGAAGGTGCCCCCATCCTCCGTCAACAATCATCAGCCCTGAAGTGCTTTGCTGTAACAAAACAATCCAAACCTGGCTCAGAGATACTCATATTTGTTGGTATTGTTTTGTAAAATATAACCTTTTGTTACTCTGTTTTTTTTTTTTTTTTTGTTTTTTTTAATACTTTGGTTGGTTGGCATAAAAAAAGACTCATAAATTGTGTTGATGCCAAGAATTTAATTAATTAAAAAAAGTTAAAAGTGAGATTCCTAATGGCTGTAAAATACAGATGTAAAGTACATGTTTATAAAGAATGTTCTTTAGTTTTGATTAATGTCAAATAATTTATAAATCATAATCAGCATTTTTAAAGCTACTGTTCTTTATCTTAAAATTCTAATATTATTTCATACACAAACATTTGATTAATTGTATGCCATATTCATTTTTCAAAAAAGGGATGCTTTCAAATATAGTTCTTTCGTAAAGTTTTTCTAGTTTAAACTTCATGATAAAAGAACTTGTTGGATCTGTTACAGAAGATATTTGTTGACTGATAGCAAAACTGATATTGCCCATAAATAATTTTTAAGTATTATTTGCATTGTTGCAGTGGAGGATGATTGCCTAGCACATTTTGAGCATTTTTTTGGAATTGTAATTATGCCATGTAGAATTTTATTATGAATTATATGTAAATATAGATTTAACATTGATATTTAAGTTACTTCATGCATTTTACAAATTTTGTTTTGAACAAAATCATGTCATGTAAAATTTTAAAAGTATTTATGTGACCAAAATAAATATTTTTATTTTCATGATAGTTTTATACTTATTTATGTGGGGAAAATTAATAGGAAATTTAACCTATGTACATTTATGTTTTTGTTTACTTACAAGTTTATGCATTAGTGTCATGTCCTTTAATCATGCCTATGCATTGCATAAACTTGGCATACAAGTTCTATTGCTGGGTGTCACGTAAGCTTGCTCAAGCAGATAAGAATAGAGGTTGTTTGGGCCTACATTAATCTGCTCAAATATCAAACGCAACAACAAAATTGTGGACCGGATCGTCACTTGTGATAAAAAGTGGATCTACTTCAACAAATACAGACCGAAAAGGGGGTTGGTCTGCACCCGTTGAGCCTGTTGGAAGCGTTGCAAAGCACAATTTGATTAACAAAAAGATCATGCTTTATGTCTGATGGGATTGCCATGGTATCCACAAAGAGTATCTGGAAAAAAGTAAAATCCTTGACAATAAAATGTATGGTGAGATGCTAGTCTATGTTGATGCTGCTATCAAGGAAAAACATCGAGCTGAGTTCTACCGCAAAAAGATAATGTTCCATCAAGATAATGCAAGACATGTGTCTGCATTCAACAGCTGGACTCTGTATGAATTCTTATGGGTTCTTTTGCTACACTCTCCATATAACTTGGACATTGCTCCTTTGGACTTCTACCTTTTTTCACACCTGTAGCTACATTTTGCTCTGGTTCTGTCATCACATCCAAAATGAGGGCGATCTTTGGTAAATGTTTACAACTCGGTGCCCCTTGTTTTTCGATTCTTTTTTGACGCTAAGGTCAGCGCCAGGAAGGCACAGTTTAAAGATAGCCGCTACACAAAACCAAAATAAGAAGTCAAAAAATTGCAAAAACTCTGTGTCTATGTGCACATCGATCTGTTTTCACTTTAAAAAAATCCTAGAATTGCACAAACAAAGGCATTGTGCACTGCCTTAAATTTATCCATGTACACATCAATCTATTTTCATTTTAATAAAATCAGGAAGCTAAAATAAAGTTAAAACTATCATGGTCAGAAGTGAGGTTTCATCACCAAAACTTTTAAAAAATTGTCGCTAATCGAAGGGGCACCCAATTCTACCCTAAAGCCTGATCTTTTTTTGGACTCACGACCACCAAGTTTCTGGGCAAAGGCTTTGAAAAACTACCAAAACACTGGCAGAAAATCATAGATTTTGGAGGTCTTACTACCAACACTAAAGACATTGCTTTCATTCCTCCTAACTTTATTAAGAATGCTTTTTTGGTAGAAAACTTTCGTTACAACCAGATACATGTATCAGTAATGCAGTTCGATATATTGTTAGCATTGTTGCCAACCCAAAATGAATTTTCATCATGTCTTCTGATGTTTAATTTTAGCCCCTTATTTTACCACCAAGTTTTGTCTTTTCGCCCAATAAATTACATAATGAAGCCCTGACCAATATGACCATGTGAGATGTAAGGCAAAGAATGCAAAAGCAGGTTTCTTATTTAGAATATAAATAAATGTATAAAGAAGAATTTTTTTTCTCTGTATTCATTTGTTTGTGCCCTAATGTTTTAAATTTGCAATTAGCTGTTAACTAATTTTATTATTTTGGATTAGTTGTTAATTATTTTTATCACTTAAAATATTTTGATAAATAAAAGCATTTTTTCTCTTCTCAGGATATTATTAGCATAAAGTTTTAAGAAAATTATAAAATGAATTAATAAAGTAAAATTAAACGCATAAAATTTAGAAAACCTAATTAAGTACTAAAATATTTTTCATCAAAATCACATTATAAATAGTGTAAACCAAATGGTGTATTTTAAAACAAACTTAAATCAATTTGGCATTCTCTTGATATCTTGTCACCGTATTTTGTCTCGTTTACGAAAGCCCTCTTGAATGAATTCCAATACACGGAGTAACTGGTGTACCGTGGAGTGTTCAAGGCAGAAGCCAAATTGTTCCGGGATTATTAAATTTCGATCACAGCAGAATTCATTTAAGCGTTTAAGTAAAACAAATTCATATATTTTTGAGAGAGATAAGAGGCTAATAGGCCTGTAGTTGGCGGGGAGATTTAAATTTTGACCCGGTTTTGGAATAGGAATGACTGCAGCAATTTTCCAACAGTCAGGAAAGTAACACCTTTTAAGCATAAGGTTAATCAAGACCGTAATCCATACAATATACATAATGGGGAAGTTTTTGATCTATGCCAGGGGCCTTCTTCAGTTTCATTTTATCGATGAACTCCAGCACCTCAGTTCAGTCGGCGTGAGATTAGGCATGATGGGTTGCGTTAAGAAATGTTCAACACGTGAGTGTATGCGCTCCTGTGTAACCAGATGGTTACAGTAGGCATCACTATTTGGACTGAATTGTGTAGCAAGGCTTTCAGCTATAGCTTCAGCTCTTTCAGTGTCTGTATAAAACCCATCTGATTAGTACTGGACCGTTTCAAGGGTCGGAATGTGTTCAAATTGTTTGCGTAATCGGGCGTCTGCACGCCAAACCGATCCGTCGTCAGTCGTTAAGGGACTCAATGTAGTGTTTTCCACTCCTGCTTGTTTTTTGCAAGCGGGTTTCAGACATAATCTCGTTCTGTAGTCTGTGAAATTAAAGCATAGATACTGGGATCATGTGTTCTTCTGCCCAAAGTTTTCGCAGGTATTTACGTCTCTTAAGGCGGGAACCTGGTGCCCGGAGGCGGAAGCCTAGCGCCCTGTAGTGGTGGTGTATTTAATTATGGCAAAGCCCGCGGCTATCACTTCTTTCAGTAAAGAATCCATGTTTTTGATACACCTGTCAAAGTCCGCATTGCTGGAAATTTTGATAGGGCGGTACCTGTACATTCTAAAATAAACCGAAAATCTTCCCAATTTGTTGAGACTTGCTTCTCTAATTTTGAGAATCGATTTTGAATATCTAGGATAATCAAAAAAGGGTAGTGATCATAATCTAACTCTTGAATTACTTTAATTTCATGCCGAAAGTAAATATTATAAAAAGCAGCCAGATCAAGAACTGTGGGGGACCCTCTTACAGGGTGGTCAGTCGGGGCAATAGGAACTATGTTCTGTACATGGGAGCTCTGACCCCATGAATTTAGACTACTGCCAAATCTGTACCTATTAGGACAGAACCAAGCGGTATGGCGGGAATTTAGATATCCAGCAATGATAAGGTGATTCGAGATTGTGAGAAGCTTATCAAAATCACTGACAGGAAAAACATTCCTCCCACGAGCAGCTCCTTGTGAGGGAAGGTATGTCGAAACAGTTTTAAGGGGGGGGAGAATTTTGTATAAAAATTTTGATAATAGTCGCTTCCACATGTTCCAAATTTGGGGGGGGGGTATCGTGATGTTTAATCGAATGTTTCACATAGATACAGGTGCCACCACTTGCATGTCTGCCATATGACACCCTGTCAGTTGAGAATATGTCATAGTTCCCAATTCTGGGAATTCACCCTGGGATAAAATGGGTCTCTTGGACCAAAAGTACAGGGTGATCTTTTTTAAAGTGACAGTGTTTGGAGCACCCTGTAGCTTGATCTAATAGCCGAAATGGCACTAAACTTGGTATTTAGACTAATCAAGACATGGGACATCAAGTCGTGCAATCATACAGTTAAATTATAAATGTTTATTTACTACATTAACTTCCCCGGTGAGGAATTAGACCACATTCAATGTGAGCACCGTTCTCAGAAATAACACCGTGCATTCTGCGCACAACATTCTCCACAGCCGTATGTATCACGAGGAATATTCCGCACTGTCTTTGTTATGTTGACCTTTAGAATAGACAAATTTGATACTCCACCACATAAACTTGAGATTTCAAATAACCCCAGAGCCAAAAATAGCATGGCGTGAGGGCAGGGGAACGAGGCGGCCATGCAACTGGAAAACTGCGACTTATGACTCTATCATCAGTGAAGTTTTGGCGCAACAGCTGCTTTACCTTATTACTAATGTGTGGCGGAGCACCATCCTGCATAAAGATTGTCTGTTGGAGATGGTTTGTTTGTTGAAGTTGTGGAATAACAAACGTTTGCAGCATTTCGTGGTAACTTTTTGCATTTTATTGTGCACGTTTGGGGTCCTGTCGGAGTGATGGTCTCATAAAAGAATGGCCCAGTTAAGAATTCAGCTGTGAAACAGCACCAAACAGTGACTCTTTGGGGAATTTAATGGGATTTCGTGCACGGTGGGGGGCTGCTCAGAAGCCCAAATTCGGCTTCGGCTATTTTGTGTGTTTACGGACCCATTGAGATAAAAATGGCACTCATCTCCCCACAGAATGTGCCATGGGAAAGCATAATCAATTTCTACCCTGGCAAGAAACAATAGAGTGAATGTCACTCACTTATCATAATCACTTGGTTTTAGTTCGTGCAAGCGGCTGATTTTGTAGGGGTAGAATCCAATAACACGCCGCAAAACTCTCCATACCGTGGAATAATTCATGTCCAATTGTCGAGCTACACCCCTGGCGCTGCTAGTACCAGCAATGGTTCCCTGCGATCCTTCAACAATTGCAGTTGCCACATCTTCTGATACTGGTTTACGTCCTCTCCCAGCGCGAATGGTCAGTGACCCCGTTTCCTCGAACTTTTTAATCATTTTCTTAAGACCATTCAGCGATAAAGGCCCCTTTCGTAATTTTTTTCTGGTTCGAAATTCCCGAAGAGCTTCGGATGCATTATATTGATTCATGTAATACATCTTCACCAGTAACCGCACGTTCCGGTAACGTGAGAGGCATGGCCACTGGAGCTGGTTTACTTCAGCTAGAGTATTTATCGGAGCTGTCTACTACTTGCTTTTATAGCCTCTATTACTGGCGCTGTCATCGCACAACATTTGCATTTTTCTTTGATACCCGTGTTTTATGCTAATTCTCGTTATTGTACGCTATGCCAATGCCAATGATTTGAAAATTACGGAGTGCCTATGGTTCAAAACTATTTACCTCCTCATCAGAATTACTAAAAGCGAGCAGAAATAGGAAAAAA